TCCAGTTTTTATATAAACATGTGTATTCCATACACACAGCGCACCTGCATCCACAAACCTAAAGAAAGCATTAGTATTGAAGGACCATACGCCGTTGTGATCATATCCGCTCTCATTTTGTGCTCAACTTCAATCATTCGCATGCATTTAGGATAGGCATGGGATGCCTAAATAAGATCGCAAATTTGAGAATAATATTTAATTTTGATTCTAGCTGGCCACTTTTCTTGTTTCAGTGATTTTGGTGACTTTCGGAAAAGGATACCTTCTGGCTTTGAAGATGTTCATCGGCTGACCGACAGGGCCAGGACCGCGGGACGGGTATTTTTCACTATCAGTACCCGACGAGGCCAATCTACAAAGCCCTTTCATCTGCTTCTATGATGAAGGGAGGCAAATACTAACGTCATCCTATTAAGGGATTCTTCGAAACCCTGCCTCTCTTTGCATGCATTATGAGATGACTTCTCTTGTCGTCAAGGCCTGATCGATAGAAGGTGGTGACACTACTTGCAGGGCAACCAGGCATTGGTACTTGTGCTTATCATTCTTCAGCTCTTTATCGCCACCGTCCCACCTCCCTCCTACAGGACTTGGACTTAGGCGTTACCAATGCTATTTCCTCTTGAGAGGTGGCGTGGCTTTCTGAAGCCATTACTTTTATGATTGGTTGAAATGTACGTCCAGTCTGTCAGTTGGTACCGAACCCTGTAGCACAATTTTCCATTTCGAAGGAAAAGTTGGTTTAAAAGAATTCATTAGATGGTCTCAACGGAAACCGGTGGAAAATGGCTGCCGAGCGAAGACGGTTGGATTGTACCAAGAAGGACTCAGTTCACCATCCTGCGACCCCAATGAGCATGTGCTGACACGAAGGTCTGTACCTTCGCGTCAGACGTCACCAGAGCAAGAATCCATACTTTACCAAATCGAGCAAAAACATACTGACCCAAGAGAAAAGGTGGCTGGCTGCAACCCTAGTCTCTTTTGTATACACCTTAGATACATGCATCTTCTTCTTTTATACATCAAACTCGCAATGTTAATGAGGCATCCCATGATTTGTTTTAGTTTGTAGGTAGGGTTTCGAGACTACCATTAAATTATATGCATGAGGTGTGTTCACCTTATTTCGTTTAGGTTAATAAGAGGATTTCCCACAATCATATGAGCCGACTTTACTTTTCAATTAAATTCCACATAGTCTTCCCTTCCCACTTGACTTGTTTCTTCTCTTTAATAATCCTAGGTTGGCTTCACTGACGAAGGAATTTTTAGTGATAGTGAATTTAGAGAAGCACTCGCTTGAGGATCGTGAACCTCTTGGTGAATGAACCATACATCACATACATCCCAGGATTTGGTTCGCCACCTCAAACCTGCTCTACATGCCCGCAGATGAGTGAAGCTAATTCATGAACCGGAATTGGATTTGGTGTTTCCATGCGAAAATAACAAAACTAATCTACGATCCCCTACTGACGACTCATGTTTGGATATGTGTTATTGTCTATTGTGTGTATGTAATATTTATGTCATGAGAGGCGTGATTGTCCTATTAGTTGCCGTTACTACACCTAGTCAGGATGGGGCACGGTAGGGGGCGGCGAAAAATTCCTGACCATTTTCCGATTGAAAGCCCTGAAAACCAAGAAGGGTCTAGGTCCGCAGACTGTCGGGCTCTTAGTATTTCCGCACTCACACTCGCCCCAACCTCATCCTGAGCAATACGGGCACAGGGATGATGTTGTTGATGCAGCCATACACAAAACTTTTCATAGACTGGCCTCTCTACAACAAAGGCAGATTTTCGCCTGAAGCACACATACGGACAAGTTTGGTTGCCAGGGCAGTGCTCATGTGCACGAAAGCATGGCTCTTTATTCCTTGGCCAACATGTAAAGTTGGCCTACATCCCTGCTCAACTTGAAGCATGTCTCGCAAGCGAGACGGAGGAACATTGTTTGCGGGTCGACCTCGTTCCGTTACAAAGCAAGCCATGCGGCCACACACTATCGATGAGCTGGTCCATAGAGACGTACCAACTCAAGCGATACGGCCTGGCAGAATGACGATTTGCCGACAACCATCATCTACCGGAATCCGTTCGTTCCCCGCAGATCTGTGGGTACTTAGCGATCAGCCTCCGGCGTTATGCTTCATTCGAGTGTGGCAGACGATAGTTTCAATTGATTTACGAATATTGACCACTTCTTGCGCAGGTCTGCTGACACTGCTTCAGTTGTGATTGGATCGAGGCAGACGTCATCACGGAAATTCCGCAAATCTACCATTATCTTGCATCTGTATGATGACAGCTCTGGCTGATTTCGCAACTTTCTATCGTCCTCAGAGTGACTAGGAAGAACCAATCTTGCACTAAGTCTTCTGACGTTTTGTCATGTTTTTTTCGTCTATCGCATTGA